CCCAGCTTTGGGTTTTGTTTTCAATTCCGAATTATGTTGACTCTTCTCACATTATCACAATAACTTCAAGAAGAAATCTGGGTGTGTGGAGGGGCCACATCCCTTTATAAACATTTAAATCGGGCATCAGCAAACATGGGCCCTCCAGGTGTTTTGGACTTCAACTCCCACCATTAATAATAATAATAATAATAATAATAATAATAATAATAATTTGTATTTGTACCCCGCTACCATCTCCCCAAGGGACTCGGTGCGGCTTACATGAGGCCGAGCCCACAATACATCAATACAAGCAATAACGACAATTAAAACAATTAAAATAAAGCTCATTCCTAACAGCCACCATTTTGCCAATGGCGGTTGGGGGATTCTGGGAGCTGTAACCCCCCAAAACACCTTCCTTACTCTGGTCTATCAGGGAGTTGCAATTGTAGAGATGCGGCACAGATAGACGTTGTGGGTTTCCTCTTTGGGACAAACATAACAACGGAGCAGACAAACCTTTGTTGAGATCCAGCCAGGCTCTGCTTGTGATTATTTTTCGTGCTTGGTTTCTGCAACGTCCAACCCTGACAAAAAATGACACTCTCCTTTAGATGCGTAGATTATCTCCCTGATAAAAGCATCAAGTATGGAACAATTGTGATGACAACAACATTGTTCCTTTCTAACCTGGGGCTATCGTAAAACTTGTGCACCAGTTGCGCCCGTTCCTTGGGAAGTCTGATCTGGCCACAGTGGTCCACGCTCTTGTTACATCCCGAATAGACTACTGCAATGTGCTCTACGTGGGGTTGCCCTTGAAGACTGTTCGGAAACTTCAACTGGTCCAGCGAGCGGCAGCCAGATTGCTTACCGGAGCGACATACAGGGAGCACACCACCCCCCTGCTGTGTCAGCTCCACTGGCTGCCGGTTCAGTTCCGAGCACAATTCAAGGTGCTGGTTTTGACCTACAAAACCCTGTACGGTTCTGGTCCAGCGTATCTGTCCGAACGTATCTCCCTCTACGTCCCACCACGGAATTTAAGATCATCTGAGGGGGCTCTGCTCTCGACCCCACCTCTATCCCAAGTGAGGCTGGTGGGGACGAGGAGCAGGGCCTTCTCAGTGGTGGCCCCTCACCTGTGGAACTCACTCCCAGTGGATATCAGGGCATCGACATCACTCCTGTCCTTCAGGAGGAAGGTAAAGACGTGGTTGTGGGACCAGGCCTTCGGGCAATCTGCTAACTAGGAAGGACAACCAGACAAATAGGACCGGCAGGACTGATAAATGTGGAAGGAAACTCTGAACTATGAGATAGCGAACATTGACCGGCAATAAGGAGTAATTGGTTTGTATTGGTTTGTATGAAATTTTATTGGTTTTAGCGGGTATAGATGTAATGTATTGTTGTTGTTTGCTAATTCGCGTTATTCTGTTTTATTGCTGTTGTATGTTACGGCCATCAAATTGTGCCTTGGACGTGTAAGCCGCCCTGAGTCCCCCTCGGGGTGAGAAGGGCGGGATAGAAGTAAACCAAATAATAATAATCGTAGAAAATATACGTAATTTTGAAAACTCTGTGCCATTTCGTCTAAAAAGAGATGGGTCTTGTGCAGGAGTCTTGGATGGTTTAGAATATAATGGAAGCCCCACGTGATGGGTCAATGGAGGACCACAATGTGCGTTCCCAACCAACGCCACACTTGAAAACACTTACAAGAGTCCCTTGTCCTCCCCAGTGCCCCCCACAGGCCCCACAAACAAAGGTGGGATTGTTCCCCTCCTGTCCCATCATCCTCTGCCGCAGAATCCTGGAAAGAAAACTTTGAGTCAGCAGATGCTGAGCCCTTGGCTTCGCATTCTTTCCATATGGATGAAAGCTTTGTGCATTTCTGCCCGAGAAGCTCTGAAATCTGTCACGGTGCCGAAATCAATCCTCCGTTCTTGGCACACAAGAGACCCAGGGCCAAGCCAAGTGCAATTCTTGATTAATTTCTATCATTGGCAGAAAGGGGGTAGGCAGTAGATTCTTGTAGTGGGAAAACGTCAGTAGAGAATGCTTCTGGGGACAAACAGCCCGAAAAACTCACAGCAACCCAGCAATAACAAATTCTTCAAAAGTGACTCCTGGTGGATGTTGCAAAGCAGAGCTGCTGTGCATCCCGGTTGCTGTGTGTCTATATTCCCTTCCTGTAGTCCAGGCATGGGCAAACTTGGTCCCTACTTACTGGCTGTTGGAAATTGTGGGAGTTGAAGTCCAAAACACTTGGGAGGGTCCAAGTTTGCACATAACTGCTGTAGTCGCTTACATGCCCAAGAGTTCTGCTGAAACATTGGGCAATGGGATTTTGGCCTGCATCAATAGGAGCCTAGTGTCTAGATGCAGGGAAGTCATGCTCCCCATGCTCTATTCCGCTTTGGTTAGACCACACCTGGAATATTGTGTCCAATTCTGGGCCTCACAGTTCAAGAGAGATGTTGACTCTAAGCGGGAATGTGTCCAGAGGAGGGCGACTAAAATGATCAAGGGTCTGGAGAACAAGCCCTATGAGGAGCGGCTTAAGGAGCTGGGCATGTTTAGCCTGAAGAAGAGAAGGCTGAGAGGAGATATGATAGCCATGTATAAATATGTGAGAGAAAGCCACAGAGAGGAGGGAGAAAGCTTGTTTTATGCTTTCCTGGAGACTAGGACGCAATGGAGCAATGGCTTCAAACTACAAGAGAGGAGATTCCATCTGAACATGAGGAAGAACTTCCTGACTGTGAGAGCCATTCAGCAGTGGAACTCTCTGCCTCTGAGTACGGAGGCTCCTTCTTTGGAAGCTTTTATACAGAGGCTGGATGGCCATCTGTCGGGGGTGCTTTGGATGCAATATTCCTGCTTCTTGGCAGAATGGGATTGGACTGGATGGCCCATGAGGTCTCTTCCCACTCTAGGATTCTATGATTCTATGACCGGCAAACCGAATCTATGTTTTGCAACAACACGTCCACATGGTTCCGTGTTTTCTGAATCGCTCACTACTTTAGCCCCCCAGAAAGGCTTGGAAACAAAACACTGTCCTTGGGGTGTAGCTAATGGGGCGGAATGTGTGGGTTTGTGCCTGTTACACCTGTCCAGCGTGGCTGACTCCACAAGGGTGTGAACCGGGGGTGATTCCCACACTCCTTGAAGGAAGGACTGGACAGGCCTTTTGAGGGAGAAGCTCTGCTTTCTTAAATTCCAGAATATCGTTTGTTGGGAGTGAGCTGGGCACAAAGAAGGTATTGCGCCCCCAAATAAGATTTCTCTCCTCCATGTGGATTTCCCTTGGTTTTGTAAATTCCTCGCATAACGAAAAGGCACTATAAATCAAGACGTTGGCTTTCCAGATGCTTAGCATTTGTCCACTTTGGGAAGATAAAGCAGGGTAATAATAATAATAATAACACCAATAATAATAATAATAATAACAATAACAACAACAACAACAACAACAACAACAACAACAACAATCGAACTGCAAAGGCTCTGGTATAAACGCGTACAGGTGGTCCCAGTGGTTTGGAACACAACACGCCAGACATCATGATTGTGGAAAAGAAAACAGTCTCGATTATGGATGTCGCCATACCAGGTGACAGTCGCATTGAGGAAAAACAACAGGAAAAACTCAGCCGCTATCAAGACCTCAAAATCGAACTGCAAAGGCTCCGATTGCATAAACCAGTCCAGGTGGTCCCAGTGGTTTGGAACACAACACGCCAGACATCATGATTGTGGAAAAGAAAACAGTCTGGATTATGGATGTCGCCATTCTAGGAGACAGTCGTATTGAGGAAAAACAACAGGAAAAACTCAGCTGCTATCAAGACCTCAAAATCGAACTGCAAAGACTCTGGCATAAACCAATCCAGGTGGTCCCAGTGGTCATGGGCGCACTGGGTGCCGTGCCAAAAAATCTCAGCCGGCATTTGGAAACAATCAACATTGACAAAATCCTGATCCGTCAACTGCGAAAGGCCACCTGACTTGGATCTGCGCGCATCATTCGGAAATATATCACACAGTTCTAGATGCTTGGGAAGAGTTCGACTTGTGATTTTGTGACACGAAATCCAGCACAGAGGTCTCGTTTGCTGTGACATACTCTGCTTTTGTGTCAGTAAAATAATAATAATAATAATAATAATAATAATAATAATAATAATAATAATCCAAGTGTCTGCTGTGGACTCATCTTGTTGTGTTTCAAATAATAATAACTACTTATCTCTTGTGTTAATGATGTTGTATCCCGAGCAAAATAGCTCGAGCCGCTATTTTGCCTTCTCGGGGAGTTTTAGAAACACAAATTCCCCTTCCAAATTAATGGGGGAAAGTTAAGACAATTAAAACGACATTTACCTCTCCTTCCACATCTGTTCTTCATATGTGGCAACTGAGCGCACCGGAAGGAGAGGGCACAGGAAGTGTTCCTTGCACAGCACGTCAATAGGCCGCTTCATACTCAAATGTGGGACATTTGTTTGAAACCACACACACACACACACACACACACACACACACACACACAGAGTTATATTTGGACGTCAAATACGAGACCAAAGAAAGAAGACAATATGAAGAACAAAGACATCCATGTTGGTATAAAACCTCACAGCTAGGGCCTGCTCACCCACTTTGTCCCAGGATTAATGCACTGCGGCAATTCTCAAACCGCGCACTTCCCCACAAAGGAGCCAGGCATTTCTTTTGCTCGACAACCAAACATCTGCACATTGGTTGTATTCTAACAACATTGAAGTCATTTCAAGGCCAAAAGTGGGTTGAGGAGACTGGCCTCCTTGAACCAGAAACCTTTTTCGGGAAGATCATACTTTGCCCACTTGAGAAAAATCGCAGGCCTTAGGAATCAGCCGACTTGATGAGATCAGCCCCCATCCTGGGAAGAAATAAATAAAACATCCACGTTCCTGATTTGTGGGGTCTGCACAGACCTCACATAGTCCAAGAAAGAGCCGTTCTCAAGGCGAAGTCGCCAAAGAGTTCTCTCCTCGAATTATTCCTGCGCCAAACCTTCTTGGACCGGGACATAGCCAGAGGTGTCTTCAAGCAAGGCAGTCGTCAAGTGGCGGAATGTTCCACAGGGGTGGATCCCGCTATCCTTCTGGCCACGAGGGATGCGTGAAGACAATGTTCCTCTTCTTTGCCCAGCGGGAAAAGACCGCCTTCTCCGTGATGAAGCGGTGCCCGCCTCGCGGGGCCCGTTCGTGCGCCAGGTACATCCTGCATTCGTCCAGCCGGCCCTTCTCGAAATAGTGGTAAGGCACGGGAGGTTGGCTCTGGTTCCTGCCAATCAAAGAAGACATTTCCTTTTTTTAAAGGGGTGGGCTTCATCATCATTTCACTGATTTCTATCCCACGTTTCAAAGGGCCGCCCACCGGAAACCGGAGAGGGATTTATTTATTTATTGACAGTATTTCTGTTTACCTGTCCGAACGGATTCTCCCCTATGAACCATCAAGGTCTTTAAGATCTTCCGGGAGGGCCCTGCTCTCGATCCCGCCACTGTCACAATCACGGTTGGTGGGGACGAGAGACAGGGCCTTCTCGATGGTGGCTCCCCCGCTTTGGGACTCCCTCCCACAGGAGATTAGAACTCCTCCCTCCCTCCTGA